CTCTTTGTCCGATGAATATCCGTCGGTAGCCACAAAGGCCACCTTTTCTTTCTTACGGTATCGACTAGTTTGTGATTTCTCACTTCTCAAACGTTCGACCTATCGGACGCGATCGGCCAATTGTGCCATATATCTTAAATATTGTGTATCTAGTTTTTTCCTAATGGAATAATCTAATCCTCCCGCCGCTATTTCGACTAATTCGTGTTCGGGGACTCATGTGAAGTAACGCGCTTTCAACAGTCGAAACCTATTCAGGTACCAATCTACAGATTCTGCGGTTTTCCTTTTTACGCTAGCTAATTCCTTCAAACTGATCTTTGATTGCCCCATATAAAATTGTTCATGGAACAATCTCTCTAACTGCATCCATGTGTGGACCGTCTGTGGGGGCAGTAAAGTGAACCATGTGAACTTTTTTTTTGTGAGGGACCCTGGAAAATATTTCATTTTTAAATCCTCGTTATTCGCTATGTCCCCGGCCTCTGTCTGATAGCGGGCCACATGTTCGACAATGGATTCCTCTGACTCGCCCGCAAACTTAGTGAATTTAGGGACTTTCCAACCCCTTGGTAACTCAGTTTGCAACACAAAATCTGGCAATGGGGACGTGTAGGCGGGTCGTCGAAGGCTAGGGTTCGCACCATTTCGAACGATGATGCGTTTGACCATGGCCTCCAGATTAGCTTCGCCTCCAAGGTTCTCATTTCTAACCTGTCGGACTATGTTGTCAGGGTCTTGGTCCATGCGGACCAACACTATGGGGGGTCTCTGGGACATCTGAGGGATCCTGTCAACCTCAGGGACTTGGACCTCTTCTTCGACGGGCTCGTTTTGTCGACCCGACGTGTCGGAACGATTTGGATGAGTTTGTCCTCCCACGTTCCTAGGTGCTCCTAGAAAATCTCCTATTCGTGCCATCTGGTGGCTAACTGTTGGTAACTATGTGTTGAGTCCTGTATCGAAGGCCTCATAACGGCACCAATTTATTGTGTTAACATATGTATCATATCGTGGTTACTTTCGTCCATCTACTAGCGCATGGACACGACAGAACTAGTAGTAAATGTTGGTATTGCTGGGGGAAGTGTTCCAAATCCTGGTGGCCCTCCTTTCTGCTGGGTCACAGGACCTAGGCTTCGGTATGGCAAAAATGCGGAGGTTGAATTCTCTCCCCCGTCTATTCCCCCGTAACGCCAGTTCGGCATGAATTCTGGCAGCATCCCCAAGTGCTGAGGCATTGAAGTGTTAAAATTTGGGGGCCGTTGACAGTCGATCTCGGTCGTAGCGAGCCGTGCGTCCGTTCGATTGGGAGTCGCAATTGGTGCGGTGCCAACGGTTGCAGCGACGGTTGGCATGGGCCCTATGCCCAGCACCGCCCCTGGCGAAGAAGATGTGTTTCCTTGCAAAGACGTTTCTTTGTTTGGTCGCGACGTCACCATCTTTCTGCTACGTAACTGCATACACCTAAAAACAGGGGTCCGACCGGGTGTGCCAATTTGTTCGCACGTGATTTTTGCGCGAATAACCTCTGGCCTTCCTACGCGGATTTGCTTGCGGGACTGGCCAAACTAGTCCCAGGATGGTTTTTTGTTTCAGGCGCGTTATTTGCTTGGATAATGGTGCACTTTGACGGTTATATCTTTCTTAAGTCCACTCTCTGACTACCTTGGAATTTCAAAGACTAGGCAATGTAAAAGACAAGATTTTGGTATATATTATGATAATGAGGCTTAAATGCCTAAACTACTGGGTAAACTTAGAATAAAACTTAAATTAGAATGGAAAAAGGACTTAAAGTAAATGGAAAAGTACAGGAAAAAAGGTGTTTGGACGTATTCGTACATTTTGGAGTGATAAAGTGAACTCTTTTCTCTATAGCGCAGTACTCAGAGTGTTTTTCTTCCAATACTGACAAAAGACGCCCCTATCTCCTCCAAATTCTTGCTTTATATAGGCATATAGAGTAACTACCAAGGGGTTTCAGGATATGCCACGTGGCACCCCACGTCTTTGGGAACTACCTCCATGTTCTCATTTCAAACGGGCTTCCCGCCAGTCTTCTAAGTTCTCCTATCGAGAATGCTTTTTGCTGGCTTCTTCTCTGTGTCGATCGACATAGCTCTCGTCGATATGCTTAACTCATACTGTCGAATCGGGGGTGATGCTGGCCGTATTTAGTATTGTCGGTCTTCATTCTTTATGCAGGTGGTTAGTCGATTTCTTACCTCTTATCGAGGTTAATTGGCTAAGTTTTCAGCCAACACATACTAACCCATGTCACGTAATTGAAAATGAGCTGAAATCAAAAATCAGAAAACAACAGGTCATACACAAGCTACAATTTGCAAAGCAAAATGCAATGCATTGCCAAAAATTGCAGAAAATAACAACAACGATATCACAAGTCACGCAGCACATAACAGATTCAATTCAAAACGCAAGAAAATTTTCAAAACAGCATTCCATTTTTCACTCCACTCCGTCTATAAATACAACACACAACTCACTCATTTCTCTCAAGCTTTAAAGCCAAAATCACCCTGATACTTTTTCCACTCAACTTACCACATTCATCTTCTACCTTTTTCTTCAAATTCACTCTCCATTCAAACAAAATACCAGCCAGAAGTAGTAGAGAAGAAGAGGAAAGATCAATTTCATCCTAACCTGAGCCATTAAAGATAGAATTGAAGTTTTCTCGCATTTTTGACTCGAATTGTTGTTGAGCATTCTTTAAAGTTGTTGATATCATTATGTTCAGTCTTTGATTTCGATCACAACCGTGTATGTTTTGAGTCCCGCCGCTCTGATTTGTTGAAGTTTTGAATTGTTAGCTTCGTTGGTGAATAGTGTAACACGCTTGTGAAGAAGATGATGAACTCTCTAGTTTCTGGTTCTCAATATTCATCTATTTTTGTTTTAAAAAAGAGGTGTATTGTTTTTTACAAGTTTTTGGGCTGTGACTCAGTACTACCACCACCACCATATTTTTCTTTTGAACCTCCCTCTGTTCTTTTTTCTTTTTAAAATCTAGATCTATTTTGTTACTAATTTCCTCTTATCTTTTTATGAATTTTCTTTAAATAGACTTTAATATTTTTTTTAATCTTTGTATCTTGAATTTTGTTTGAAAAACTTTTCTTGAAAAAATTATTTGAAGTTACTTCATTCTAGATTTTATTTTGAATTCTTATTTTATTAATTGATTAATTGATGGTTGTTGGTTAGATCTTAAATTTCGAACATGATCTTGTTAATCTCAATGGACCATAGGCGTCGATAGGAGAAATTTTGAATCTACCAAGTGAAGTGATTGATATTAATGACTATTTAATCGAATTAAGATTCCTTTTGTTTCTCTTTCTCTTTTTCTTTTTCTTTTGGTCGATGAAATCTATGGATCATGGATTGTTGGTTGTAAAGGATATTTAATCTTCACTATTTCAAATATATGGGAGAATGATCATTGAGATAGTGATAGGTATTTAATCGTATTAAATATTGTTTGAAGTAAATAAGGGGTAATATGTGAAATATATTAAATGGTGTAGTAGGGCTTAGTATTATTTATTTTGCAGTTCTGATGAAGATGTATGTGCTAAAGTAATGGTTAGCCGTCGAAAGTATTATGTATGGAAAAGGAAGATTCATTTCGTGAAGACTACCCAGAAAAATGTTATGGTAATATCTAAATATTCTATATAATTATTGAAGTGTATAATTGGTTTCTAATATGTTATATCATGTATCTTAATTTTGTTAATTTATAGCAAATACCTTAGTGATTCGTGAATGTCTAATAAATGAGGATAGTCAAATGCAATTGGTAGATGGAGATATGAAGAAAAGGTATGATTGTGAGCTTCACCGTTCGGAGAGAAAGTACCATACTGAAATGTTCATTGGTCGTTGCTAGTATGAGTTTGTCAGAAACAGACGTCTAAGAAGTGGTGATAGGCTTGCATTTATTCTTTGAGTTCCTCGTGCAAACAAAATTGTTGTGAAAAAGTTGATTCAGTAAAGAATGGTCAACATGTAGGAAATTGGTTGATGATGGAGTGGTGGATGTGAACATATAACATCATCAGCTTTTTGTAGTTGACTGATAAAGTTAATTTGAAAGTTTTTTGAAATAACATGTTAAGTGTTTATTGTTGTTGCTTGTGGTGTTTATGTGTATTAACAAAAAAGTTATAAAGATGGTCTATGCTGGTTTATAAAAATTAAGTATTGATATGGTGTTTTATATTTTGATGTTTGAGTAATTATATGGTTGGTTGTTTTCGTCATTTACGTATAAGTAATTAAGTAGGTTGTTTTATTCAATGTTATACTTATATTTGAAGTGAATTGACGATGCAATAATTTAATTAGGTATAAAATAAATAGAAAAAAGTATTTAATAACACTATATGGAAGTCATTTTAAATAATTATGTTGAGGTATTTTATAGTCAATAACAAATGAGAAGTGAACTGGCGATGAAGGAAAAAAAATAATTCAGAAATTTACCACCAACACTGTCTACATAATTATCATATGTTTTTACAATGAAAATTTAAAGCACTCAGTAAATAAATAAATTATCATATGTTTATACAATGAAATTTTAAAGTAGTAGCTACAAAAACATACAATGAAATTTTAAAGCAGTTTCTACATAAATAAATTATCATATCTTTATACAATGAAATTTTAAAGCAGTAGCTACAAAAATATACGATGTAAGTGTTTAATATTTGACTATGTAAGTATTTAATATTTGACATAAGCACTTAATAGTTGACAAAATGACTACAACATAGGCAGAATAGTTGACAAAAGCCTTGTACACAAAAAAGTTGTTTTAGTCCCAGATGGTCCGAAACAAAAGTAAGTTTTCATAGCAAAAGTGAGTTCCAATTACAATTCTTGAAACAAAACCAAGAGAAAGCGCAAATGTAAGTGTTTAATATTTGCAGTAGCTAAATAATATCAATTAGAAAGCAGTTGCATACCTAGACCACATTGTAAAAGACTTCCTTGAATACCACATTAGTCGTATGGTTTAATGGATTCTTATCTTTGTCATGAACCAAGATTTTCAATCCAACCTTACTTTTGATTCGTGACATAGCAACGTATAGTTGTCCGTGACTGAAAAGATCGTTTGGAAAATATAGACCAATATAGTCTAACGATTGTCCTTGAGATTTGTTTATTGTCATTGCAAATGAGATAGTGATGGGAAATTGCATTCGAATAAGTTTGAATGGCCAGAGAGACTGTGAAGGAGACAAAGACATGTGGGGAATATAAATAGTGTTACCTAAGTTTGATCATAAATATTGTACTGTTGTTCATCGATATCAATCTATTTCCAAGGAAATCCAACACGTAATCTTTGGGGTATGGCATTGACTTAAACTCATTCAAACTCCTTCTGTTTTTTGTAGTTGCTTCTCAATCTCTATCAAAGTGATTTGTTGTAATTCTTGACCAGTTAGTGATAACTCTACAATGAATTGTTAAAATATTGAATTTCGTTAAATAATAATAGGGGAATGTTTAAGAGAATTTATTCTGACCATAATATCAAGGAATTTTTTAGATTACCTGGAATCATCGACAATCGTCTCTGATCATAAAGAATTCCATCAGATAAGTATTTCCATGTGTTGCACCAAACATGGTTTGGACGATTCATAGAAGCAGATAATAACATAGTAACAAAAAGTTTTCCGAGAAATAAACCTGAACCCCAGCTATAAGCCTCCTTTATGCCCTTGATGAATTCTTTGTTATCTTGCAAAAATCCCATAGCAAAACATGCTTCCCTGAAACTTCAATGTTTAAAACTCTCAACAGTTTTGAGATCATCATATCTTTTTTCACAATTAACAACATCCTCATGTAATACAATTCACAAGTTGTTGGAGGCACCCAAATTAAACGACCAATCGTGTAACCTCGTTTCTTAGGTTTCCAGGTTCTTGTTTTCTTCACGCAAACAAATTTTGACACAAACTGTCCATATGTCAATAACTTGGCTTCCTCATATTCTCTATTTTCCATAAACCACGAAGTAAACATTGACTCAGTTACACTTTTCTTAAGAAGGACATTCCTAATTTGTTCAAAGTCTTTATAGTAAATTGAATTCTCACCTTCCATGTGAAAAAACAATCTTTCTACAGCAGGTTTCCTGCCATGGATAGAATAAGAAAAGATTCTCCAACCTGATTCACTCGGGGATACGTATCTACAATCAAGGTATTGTTTAATTTCATCAACATTGCCATCACGAGTATTAGTTGGAACTATAATAGCCGAAATTCTATTAGAACCCTTGTTGATGTACTTGAAGAGATACTTGATGGAAGTACTTTTCGATTTTATATCCATTATCTCTTCTTCTATAAACCGGATAACCATCTTGATCAACTATGGTCACATCTTGAAATTTCTTTAGGTAATACTTGGAACACCTTCCATCCTACATGCATGGACATTTTGGATTTGCCAAACCACATGGCCCATGTACCATGTGATTTTTCACCAAATTATACAATTTAGGATGTTTCAGAGGATCCTCAGAAGATATAATTTTATCAATATCATCAGGTGCGAGATATTTATTGGTTGGATGCAAGAAGATAAGAATGTGGGCACGTTGAAAACCTCTCTTCTAAAATTCTATTGTGTACATATCTGAAATGAAATTGTAGGATACAAAAAATATTATAACATAAGTAGCACAAAATAAATACACGAGATTCCGGGATGACATCACTCCCTTTCTCCCATTCTTCTTGAGAACCGACAACTGATTCGTTTTCATTAACCGAGATATAGGGGATGTCTCGAATCTTTCCGTTCTTGAGTCTGCTCTCAACACGTTCCCCTTTTATCATTAAGTCAGCAAAGTTCAACGTTCTACCACCGATCATCTTGTCAAAGTAATGGCCTTTCAGAGTACTCAAGAATATGTCAACCAACTCTCCATCCAGAAGTGAGAGTTAAAAACGAGCTGCGAATTCTCTCCATCTCTGCACATACCCTCTGAAGGATTCATTGTCCGCCTGAGATAATTCCTGCAATTCAACTATGCTCTACTTAGACTGTCCTGAAAACAGTGAATCATAAGTTGGTCATTATGGACATACGAAGTCATTTTCCTACAGAACATCACCAAATGCTGCTTCGGACAACTATCCCCTTTGAACTTCTCAAAATTTCGGCATTTTAAACTTCAGAGGCATCACAAGACCTGACACCAAACACATGCTCGAAGCATTCAAATTAAGAGTATTCTGACTCATCATGGCGTCAAGCTTTTCATCCAACAGATGATATCTTCTCATAAGTTCAGCAGTCTGCGGGTCTTCAGCATTAACCTTTGGAACACCCCTTGGAGAATCTGGCACAAAGAAAGTGAAACTTTGATAGTCCGTGTCATGGAGAGAAGATGAATATCTATCTCTGGAAATAGTACGCTCTTGTACAACAGGAATCTGCACAGGCTGAGCTTGAGCAACATTGTCCACCGAAGTCCGCTAAATGTTGGTCTCTCCCCTAGTTATAGCTGCCACAACTTCCATGAGTTGACCCAACTGATTCTTCATCAATTCAAACTCCGCCCTTGTAACAACCATATTCTTCTCTCCTGAGTTCATGATCCTTCCCGAAGCTAATTCAAGTCCAATGCGAATGTCGGGAAATCAACTACGTGTTGGAAAAAGACGGGCGAGCTCCCTGTTCTGGCTGAGGTTGGATATGCAAAAATGAAATGCAAATACAATGCAATGCAAAAATGCTAATGCAACAAACAAGGGATCAAGATCGATGTGTTGTAGCTTGAGAAGAACTGGCGCTTCGCTTTGGCAAGAACAATAACACAACTCTGATAATAGGACCCAACTGATATCAATAACTCAGATTCAAACTGTAGAGAAAATCGGGTTGTCTGAAAGCCAAGGTTTCCTGCATAACCCAATCCCACTCACAGGTATGGACCTATCCACTGATAAGGTTCGGCATCCTATGTTTTCATCAGCGTCACAGACTTTCAAGAAATGATGATACGTTCGCCATTTCTGGTTGGGCATCATCACCTCCCGAAGAGGCCTCACTTAGCTGAATCACAAATGATCGGTTCCCAGAGTCGACAAATCTCAGATCCAACATCCTGACGAGCCCTAAGGGCCAGAAAAGAAGTCATCAAAGAGAATCTCGTCTGAGCACGAATTTCATGGGGAACTGTGTCTGCTCAGCAAACAGGCCCCCCACTAGTCTCCACTACTAATTCTAGGTTTGCACTCAAACCTGGGTTTGACTTATCACTCATCAGAACTTCCCTCCCCACAGCACAACAATAATGATATATAATGCTGAAAAATAAATGCGGGAAAGTGAAAAATAAAGTACAACAAGTATATACATACGCCCCAAAAATAAACAAACAAGCGCAAGGATTTACTCGCATAGGGGATGGGAAACGGTCCCAGCAGATGGGAAAAGTCCCCGGCAGCTATTATCCCTAGCAGAGTCGCCAGCTATCGCTACTGCAAAAAAACGTGCCGGCAATGACAGAACAGTCGCCACCATTCGTTATTTATCCCAACGAGGGAAAGGAAACGATCAGAGGAAACCTGCGAAAAGAGATAAGATTGGTCATCACAACCATATCTCGGGTTCGGAAGTCAGTTACGCAAGGGGAAGGTATTAGCACCCCTCACGTCCTTCGTACTCGACGGGATCCACGCTTGGTTGTCTATCTAAAAGGGTGATTGAAACAATCTAACTAAAGGTCTAGGACAAAAGAAAAGAAAAGTGACTCGACAGAGCATCGCAGCTCTGGGCCTACATATTCCCTCGTGCAATGGGAAAGTCAGAGTCAACGTAGTTCGGCTAACTATGGGTGAAAAAGGGGAAAGGTTGCTCGCCAAGACATCGCATCTTGTGCCTACGTACTCTCAACAGGTATGAGAGATCAGAGCAAACGTAGTTCGAGCAAATAAGAACACCAATTTGTTCACATGTGTTTTATCTGAGTAGGATTAACAAACAGTTCCAACAGTTTGGTGTATGCAGCTCAACCATTGGAGGCTTAGGCGTTACCGTTTGCGGTAGAACTAAGAGTTAACAACACTCTTGTTTATGAAAATGTTTTCTTGATTAAAGGGTCCAAAGGGACAAAATGAGTTTGATCATTTATTTTTGTCTTTTATTAGAGAAATGTTTTTGGATGAGTGTTTGTAATTCATATTGCACTAGAGACTATGACTTAGGAACGAATGCGTCGCATATCGTCCTAAGGACGTATAATAAACACTCTAAGAAATTGAGAGGTAGCCCCCCAATCATTATTTCCCAAGTACTTAAGGCTCGTAACGTGCAATATGCATTAGCCTTTATTAAGTATTTTGAAGTTGTTTTGAGATGAGAAAGAGAGAGAGAGGACAAACTAAAGGGATACTAGTTCAAAACCTAGTAGTTGTAATGCATCATGGTCCTAAAGTTGAGGTTAAAAAGGGAAACTACCTAATGTTTGCTTACATGGATGGAAGCCTAATGTCTATCATCACTATCCTTAAACAAGGAAGTGAGAACTCCTAAGGGAACATGGTAATGTAAAGAAAAGAAGCAACATGCAATACTTGAATTGAAATGTGAATGTGAATGAATGCACATACAATGCAAAATTACAAGCAAAGGGAGGACACCTCAACCTTTAATTCAAACAAGAGATACACAAAGAGAAAACACAAAATCAAGGGAGGAAATTATGTGGGGTAAAGACCACCACAAGCTCATCTCAACCTTCAAATGCAAGCAAGAAAAAGTGCAAAACATACATCAAGCAAATGAAAATAATGCCCTAAGGCCTCTAACTTGAACATGGGATGAATCATAAAACAAAAGAGAAGTGGGAGAAGAAGAGAAAACATCCATGGTATCCCTAATATCATTCAACCAAAGTCTCATTATGACTTGTGCCAAAAGATGCACAAAAAGTGTCCTCGTGGTTCACCATTCAAGTCAAGCTTCAAATACCTCCTAAGGAGGGATTAAGCAACTTTAAATGGTGCTCCAAGGTCCTTGGACAGAAAGGGATATGAAAGGAGAGTGTACATGAAGTAATTGAAAAGTAATGAACAAAATATGGCAAGAGGATCATGCAAAAAGTGAAAAACATTCAACATATACACATGAAAAACCCTAAATG